AATACTAAATTAAAACGAAATTTTAAAAACTAAAAAAACTAAAACTAAAAAACTTTTACAAATTTTCCTAAAAAAAAAAAAAAACGGGAAAAATTGAAATTTACACAAAATTTGAAATGACTAATTTGATATCGAACATTTTCATTTTTAATTTTGATTCGCAATTTTATTTCTAATTTAAATAACCTATCATTTTCTTACAAATTTATCAAATTATACTTTTTAAAACTTTGAAATGAACAAAAGAACATATATGAGATGAATTGTAAAATTTATTTTTAGTCAGATATTGAAAGTATTGGATCACAATATGCATCATCTGTATTGGAAAAGATGCCACGAAGGCCACAAAAACCATTGGAACTATATTTGATGAATGCTGATCCTCATGCTATTGATTTAGTTCAAAAGTCATTTTTGTCTTTTCTTTTTTTTTTTTTTCAAAAATACATCAATTCGATGTTTAAAGAGTAAGAAATGAATTAATTTAAAAAAAAATAATTTAGTACCGAAAAAAAGAATTTAATAACTAAAAATATAACTTTACAATAATAAATGTAAAGACTAAAATTTTATTTCTCATTTAATACGCAATTTATTATGAATGTAAATGAAATAATTGATAAAAATTTGTAGTATATTTTTTAAAATATCAAAATATAACTGAAATTGTTTGAAATCATTTTTTATTTCCAATATAATATTCTTTAATAATTATAATAATTTGATTTCAGATTATTAATATTTGCTCCATATAAACGTCTTAATGTTGATCAATGTTTGGTACATCCATATGTATTGCAATTTCATTCACCGGTTGATGAACCAGCATTAAATTATAATATTCTTCTTCCATTACCGGATCATATTCAATTAAGCATCGATGATTACCGGAATAAATTATATGAAATGATACAACAAAATAGGACATATGTGAAACGGATACAGCACAATCGAGCAATCAGTAATAATACCAAGTAAAATGATAATGATATCAGTAGTAACAGATAAGAAAAAATTATTAGTAAATTTGATTTTTTTTTTTGAGAAATAAAATAAGCAAAAACCAATGCATTAATTATAAGTAAATTAATAAAAATTAATTTCTTAGATCAAAAATTCTGCAAATATTTTTTTTTTTTTGGAAACTGAAAAAATCGACTGAAAAAAAAAAGTTTTATAATTGATAATTTTTGATCATTTAATAGGTTATCAAAATATTTTACGATTTTTTTTCTCACATTAGAATAATATTTGAATTAATCCTAAAATTATATTTAATTTTCTTATCTGATCTAGCATTACGAAAAAATTAGAAGCATTTATTAATTAAGTGTAAAATGAGGAAGAAATGAATGAATTGAAAAATCAAAAAAAAAAAAAGGAAAAGAAAATGAAAGATGCAAATTTTTACTAAATTAATTAATCATACATTATAATATCATTTATTAGTAAAGTTAAAAATTATTTAAAATTTTAATTTTAAATTTATGCTAATTTTGGTAATTATATTTTAGGTATAATTTTTATGCATAAAATTGAAAAAAAAATTTATATGAGAGTATGAAATTTTTTTGATTAGAAATTTAGATTACATAATGCTACAACAACAAAAATATCACATACAAATACAATTGGACAAGGTAATACTGCAAATGGTCGTTTGTCATCTTATGTTCGCCGATCATCCTCAAATAATGCCATACGTACTGTAAAGCAATCAGTAATGGAACCAAAAGCGCCAATTGCGCAAGCTGAATGTAGTGATACCGATTATGATACAAGTCGATCAATTTATCGACCTGTATCAATTGATAAACATAAAAATACCGATACTGTTGTAATTGAAAATAGACAACCAAGAGGTTAATTTTAATTCTTTTTATTAAAATTTAAATTTAACCTAAAACATTTATGCTCTAAATTCAAATTTCATCCTTATTTGTTAAAATTTAAACTCAATTATTTCCACTTTACATTTCTGTTCCATACAATAATTTGTAAAAAAAAAATATAAACAAAAATTGTAAAATAATGAAGAAAAATGTTGCATCCATAACAACGACCAATTTCATTAGTGATTTGAATATTTCATTCATAATATACGACAAATTTTTTTTTTTTTAACGGAAATGACCGGATTTATTTCCTGATTAATTGTTAAATTATAGAAAGAGCTCAAAGTGCAGAAATTCCACAAAATGGAAATGTTTCTAGAGAACGAGCAGCATCATCATCATCCAAAGCTCATCCAAGGCATCGTTCACAACATCGTACCGGAATTTTTGCATCATTCCGGAAATCGACACATCATTTAGCATCATGAATAGATATATATATATATATATATATGCATGATATTCATGATTATTTATTATTTTAAATATTTTTAAATTATTTTAATCATTTTAAATTATTTTTTATATTTTAAATATGTTTAAATTCTAAAAAATTGGCTGGCTATATTCAATTTATTCGAGCATTTAATTTAGCTTTTTTACTTTTTTCCTTGTATAATATATAAAATTAAATTAGCAAATTCGTATTTGTTTGATTACTTACGTAGTATTTGATTATTAAATTCAATTCATCCATTTCAAAAGTTCATCATTTAAAATTTATCGAAAATTTCACTTAATTAATGACAAAATTATTGGAAGCTAAATAATGAATTTAATTATTAATGGAATACATTCAGATAATTGATAAATTTGCATGTTAATTCGAAGTTTAGAAATAACAGATATGAATGATATCCTGATCTCACTTTATTCCATTCTTCTTATTCCACATGTTTCCTATCTCGAGACTATCTACAATTGTTTCAAATTCTCGATTATTTCATGTATGATTGAAATGATTTGTTTAGGTTGAATGATATGATTAGATAATGATAAATTTATTTATCATTATTCCCTAAAAGTTTTTTGTATAGTTCATGCATAATTATCAATCGATATGCATTTGATAATGAAATGATAAAATGATGATCAATCTGATCACATTTTGATCATAAACTGATCACTTATTCAAAAAACGCTTCTTCCTATTTTATGATCATAATCTATCATACAGTATTATAGTTGATAATATTTGCAGTATGGTTCAAAGTTACTGTATTCATTATTTTACTTTAATATATTTCGGGTAACAGTCATCATTGTAAGTATATTAGGCGTAAATTTCAATTAATAATCCTGGTTACTGTAAGTGTAAGCAAATCATAAAAATTTGATTTAACAAATATGCTATTATTTTTTTTGCTAAAAGTATTTTATCAATTACTAAATTATATGTATGAATTTCAGTTCAATTTTAATTTCACGGGAAAAAAAACCCGCTCATTTTCAAAATAACCATATTTGAGATCTCGATATATGTGTATATATATGTATTGAACAGTTAGGCATGAAATTGATATTTATATTAGAGAAATGATATACAGTAATCGAGTCTTTACCATTAACTATTATCTTTGAGGATAATTTTTTTAGATTTTAATTTTGCTCAAAAATAGCTAGTGAAAATTTTTGAAGAATAATAAAATTTACAAATAAATTATTTTAGATCATTAAAGAATAGATGAATTTTTTTTTTTTTTTTAAATATATATTTTTAACATGCATAAAATGGAATGTTAATTTATTAATTAATATAATTGGTGCCTGTGTATTCATTGTTTTTCAACAAATTTTGTTCTCGTTACTATCAATGAATAAATTTGTTTACTGAAATTTGAAAACGTTGAAAAAAAATTTTTTTTTTTTTTTTTTTACTTCTGAATATCGATTAATTTTTATGAAAAGCTAAATTGCAGGCTTTTCTAAAACTCTAGAGAGTTTACATTTATGCATGGATATGCATATGTGATTGAAGCTCGTTAGAAAACATCAAACTATCATATATGAAATACTAAATTATCTTCTGTAACCATAATAAGAAGTAATTTAATAAATTAATTAAAATAAATTCAATTAATGAAATTATACATGTGCATATTTTAATGGCCATAGTTGATATATTCAGCGAATATATGAAATATTAAATTATCTTCTGTAACCATAATGAGAACTAATTTAATAAATTAATTGAAATAAACTTAATTAATGAAATTATACATGTGCATATTTTAATGGCCATAGTTGATATATTCAACGAATATAGCAAGAAAAATTTGGGTTGAGAATTTTGAAATTTCAAAAAAAAAGATGATTTCATTGAAAGATTGAAAATTCTGAAAGTAATTAAAGGTAAGGAAATGAGCTCAGGTAGATAAGTTAGCTAAATTTTAAATTTAGTAATTAAAAACTGAGCAAAAAAGTATTTGATATGAAGAGAATACGTGACATTGTACAAAAAAAAAAAAGTTTGGGTTGACAATTTTAGTATAGTTGTATTCAATTATTAATTCCTCTAATTAAATAATTGCGAAACTGTAAACGCGTTAAAGTATTTTAAGCGCTTGAATTAATCATACAGTATTTTTATTCACGTTAATTTTTCATCGATAATTTATTCCTATCAGTAATACCAAATAGTCTATATTATCCTTAAATACCTGGGATTGTACCTCGTTGGTTATACTGCCAAATGTTGTGACAATTATCGGATAATATTGATAACCCCTTAAAAATCCTCTATGATCGAGATCGAGAATTGCAATTATTTCTCAATGAATGATAAATTCCTAATGAGTATTAATCATCAACTCATTCTTCTTATTTTCATAAAAGTTTTAAACAAAAATTTCACATTACTTTCCATAAAATTGATTCATTGTTAATTTTATCAGTTATGTTTGTTAGCAAAAATTAATGATAATCCCTAATTAAATCTGGCGCAATAATTAGTTGTTATTATCATTATAGATCCAAAGATATTCAATATAATGGTTATCTTAAGAATGCTTGATTGAATTTTAAATTTTCAATTTTAATCAATTAAATGATCCAATAACATAGAAATTGATTCATTTGTAAATTTTATTAATTAAAAAAAAAATAAAAAAAGCGCTATCAAAATGAAGAAAGGATAATTTCTGTTGTTCAAACTAATCATTTTCTATTTATTTCGAAAAAAAAAAGAAAAAGAAAAACTATCCTTTTAAATGCAAAACTTTTTCTTTCCCATTTAAAACTATTCGATTTTCGATTTAAAAGATTTGTCAACTTTTTGTATTTAAAGCATTATTCAATATCATTTGAATAGGAATGGATAAGAATTAAAAAAAAAAGAATAAAACAATTTGATTTTTTGTTTTCCGCCTCATTTCTTATAACTGAAAGTGTAATGGGAATTGGAAAGAAATAATTTTTTTTTTTTTTTGAATTTCATTCTAATCAAATTTCATTATGTTTTCAAGTTAATGCATACATAATATCATCCATTGAATCGTTTTATCAAAATGGACGAATATGTAAATAAGTATAACAGTAAATAAATTGATTAATAAATAAATAAGTATAGCTTAAATATGCAAAATAAGCAAATATTTACAAAATATAAATGTGCATCAAATAAATAAAACAATTTAGTGGAAACAAAATAATGTAAATAAAAAATTAATTCATTAAGAAAAAAAAAATGGGAAAATGTTAAGTGACATTTATGTAAACATAAATGGGAATAATGTGACAAAGTGCTTAACCTTATTCTTTGTTTCTTGATCTAAAATTTTATTATTATGACGAGAATCATCATAAAAATACGATTAATGAGTAATTATATGTACATGTGTGTGTGTGTGTGTGTGTGTGTGTGTGTGTGTGTGTATGTATGTGACATTTAAATATGTAAATATTAAAATAAGAGTAATATGATAAATGGCTAGATCTTACTTTTTCCTTCTTGATATAACTTAATTATGTGACAAATCACTTGACTTTATCCTTTGCTCACTAGTCTAAAATCTTGTTATCATGAAAATTACCATAAAGTTACGGTTAATGAGTGTCTGTGTCTGTGTGTGGTAGTTTTTTTTTTTTTTTCAAATGTCTTCTTGTCACATTGTACGAAAAAGGCTTTTTTGCATTTGTGGATGATAATTTGAAGCTTCTCATTGAACAAGGGCAATATAAATGAGTTCCGCAAAAGAAGGAAGAAAGAGGAGACACAAACAAGAAGAGGACATATAAGCATTGCAATTAAGGCTAGCCTAGACTAGACTAGGCAAGACATGACAAGACACATACATATATATGTATATATATATGTAAATATATGAATATACATATCCAGGAGGATTTAGAAGCAGCCTTTTACAAGCTTGGCCTTTTTTTTTTTTTTGTACAACTAACTATCATGAATGGAATAGAAATGGAACGCCTTGCAACAAACCATTTGAAAAGTCCTAAATTCGTTTCCTTAATGATGAGGCCACAACAGTGTACTACTCACATCAGCCTTAGCGCTTTTTTCAGGCCTTTTTCTTTTCTTTTCTCTTTCCTCTTCTTCAAAAGATACTTTCGCATATTTTATTTATCATTTTTATCAACAACATTAAGTTTGTTATCATTTGTTAGAAAGATATTATTATTATCATTACACTAATACATCTATAATTATCATTAAACTAATATAAATATTTCATGAATTTAAATTGGAAATTTTTCTATTACTAATTTTTAAATTTTAATTATTTATATATTAATACATTCTGATGCAATCATTTTTGATTACTTTAGCTTATTTTGAATTCTTTTTTTTCTTTTTTTTAACACTAAATATAAAGTTTTTCAATTCAATGAAATTAGAAAGAAAATTGACAATGAGAAAATATATTTTATTCAATTAAATATTACAATTATTTTAATATTTCCAATCAGTTATATAATTTCAATTTTTTACAATTCATTACAATCATTGAAATGTAAATAATTTTGTGAAAAAAAAAAGAAAAAAAAACATTCCTTAAAAGTGCTTTTCCTAATTTTTCAAATAAATCAAATTTTTAAATAAATTAAAATAATTTAAATAATTTTTAAATAAGGAAAGTAATTTTTAAAAAATATGATAATTATATGAAAAATTTCCCAAAATAAGCATTTTTTTTGTTATTAAAACATTCATTTTTAATAGTTGCAATTTTCGTTACTTTTAATTTTTAG